ACGCGCCAAACATCTGAGGCATGCATAGCAGATCTCCCAGAGATAAACCTGCACTGATCATTTTGTATTCCTAGAGTTGTCCATGTTGCAGGAGAAGCCGTGGTACCTCAACTGTACGTGGCTTTTTTTTTCCTTGATAACCTTATTTTTTATACCTCCTTAAATTGGTATTAAACCCAAAAGCAAACATTTATTATATTGCAGCTTACCAATTATTTGACATGATGACTGCATTCATTTTCTTTGTTAGGCTTTCTTTCTACTATTTTCATCTGGTGATTCAGCCAGCAAATCTGCTGTTTTTCAGAAGCACAAGCTCTCTAGCAAAATGTATCAGCTTACATGGATGGGACAATCCATTTACCACTGGCAGGAGTGCTTACAATGATCAGCCTTTATTTCTTCATGTAAAATCATTATCCCAGAAGGAAAACCGATGTTTGCTGTAAGTGATTGAGTGTGAGCTGGAGTTTGGCTTCAATTTGTTATTGTATTCAAACCTGCTAAAATATTTAACCCCCCCCCCCCTCCAGACTTCAAATGCTGCAGTGTTCTGTGCCCTGGCTTATTCCTCCAAAGAGGTGTCTAATACAGGAGGTTTGTTACTGGCCAAATCACCAGGTGAAAAAAGCCTAAAAAAAAAGAAAAAATGGATGCAGCCGCCACATCTAATGACTGGTAAACTGCAATACATTACATTTTTTTGGTATGGGGTTTAATACCGCTTTATTTTTTTTCCCCCAATTGTTTTGGCTGTTTCTAACTGTATGCATGTAACCTTTTAAAAATGTGTGTCAGTCCATACTCAGTGCACATTATTTTCAAAAAAGGGACAAATCAGTGAATAGAAAGTGCACTTTCTTAAACTTTAAATGTCTTTATGGGTATAGCAGCACATTGCGAAAACCTATGGAGCAATTGTTGGGATCAGACCTCCCAGTAGGGAGTACTACTGTGTGTCGTCTCTGACACAGCCCCTGAGCTCATCATAGATGACAGGGGATTATACACAATATACATGTGTGGTCTAAAAGAACTGGTAGTGATCCCAGTCTTGATTTTGATTGACAGTGCAACGGAGAGGGCAAATTCCATATCCACAGCTATAGAATCTGCCTACTGCCGTATGTTGACAATCAAAAGCAAGGAAGACCTGATGGGTGAATAGTCTCTCAGTTCTCCATCAGGATATGTCCACCACACTACAAACCGTTTTGATCATGCACCTGTATGTGTGATGGGCACAGTGTCCAGGGAGGGAGTGCAATGAGGAAAGAGTGTCTAGTGTGGAAACTCTGACTTCAACACCAACCTCCGTTTCTGACAGGTACATGACTAGTGCACAAGAGATAGGCTAATCAAGACCCCTACACCACCATCTCACTCTTTCACATACCCACCCCCTATAAACTATCATTAAAGAAAAACATAACACAGATTGGAGTAAAATGGCCAACACAGCCTTTTATTAACACTTCAACTTCAATACACAAAACATTCCTTAAAACAGAAACACATAGGAAAGTTGTTGGTCTTTGAAGGCACCAAACCAGAACTGATATCCACCTGCGGAACCAATACTATCACTAGGCCTCCATTCGCAACGCACCGGCTCGGAGACAAAACATACCATCCACAGTGCAGAACCACCACCTTCCAGTTAAACCTCAGTTAATTGGAATGCCCCCGGGCACACCATACTGCCGATGGGTCCCAAACCATTAGCTTTAACTTCAAAATAAGTGCCACCTCCAAAGACCAACAACTGCCCCCAAACCGGAATAAACCCCCCCCCCTGCGCAGTGACAAAAACACCCCACACAAACCCCAAGGGAGGGCGGGAGGGAAGCTCTCTCTCTGCTGTCTCCTACAGCACTGCCTAGTGATCCTCCCCATCCACACCCAAAGGTGTAGAATACCCCACCTTCCATCCCCCAGTTACCAATCAGTACTTAGCCTTTAAACCAAACCCACCTCCTACTTCCTTTAACCCTTTCCTTTCTTATTAACCTCTTTTGGCCTTGTCATGTCTGCCCTGCGCTATTTTCTTTTTTCCTTTTCCTTTCTCTACGGGCATCTCTTGAATCAAGCACAAGCACCACCAATTTTGTGTGGGGGCTTGGTGGGATTCTAAAGGGTGTCTACCATACTCTTTATGAATTCTTCATACATTGTACAGCTTTTTTTATGAAAAAGCATGCAATTGAGTAGAGTTCAAAACCAATCTCAGAACGTACTATTTTACTGAATGACTAGTTAATGCTTGGAATAAACTTCCAGCAGAGGTAGTGAGCCAGTCAACAGTAAACAGCTTCAAACATGCTTGGGACAAGCATAGATCTTTACTCAGACAAAAACGTTAGCAAAACAGAAAACAAAACAAAAAAAACACACCCCCAAAAAAAAAAAACAACAAAAATGGGCAGACTGGATGATAGTGAGCCAGTCAACAGCAAATAGCTCCAAACATGTTTGGGAGAAGCATAGATCTATACTCACACAAAAAAAATTAGCAAAAAAACAACCCCCCCCCCAAAAAAAGAAAAAACAACAACAAAATTGGACAGACTTGATGATAGTAAGCAACTCAACAGTAAATAGCTCCAAACATGCTTGGAAAAAGCATAGATCTATACTCAGACAAAACATTTAGCAAAACAAAACAAAACCAAAAAAAAAAAAAAAAAAAAACAACCCCCCTAAAAAAAACAAAAAAAAAAAAACAAAATAACAGCACCAAAAAAACCTGTCTTTTTCTGCCGTCACTTTTCTATGTTTCTCTGTTATCATTGCAGCAATAGCAGAGCTGCGTATCACTTTAGGCTTGCCCTCTACTTCCTGAAACATATTGAAATGGCTGCTATACATTATACTTAATTAGAAAAAAAGCATTTAAGTAATGGAGTAAATAGAAAATAAACATTCATTAAACATTATACAGACCAATGGAGCATATACATAGGAGTTGATTTACTAAAGCTGCAGCACTTAAAATCTGGTACAGCAGTGTGCCCCTGATGGTAGCCAATCAGCCTCTAACTTAATTTTGTTCAATTAAGCCTTGGCAATAAAACCTGGAAGATGATTGGTTTCTATGCAGAAGTGCAGTGATTTTGCACTCTCTATTTTTAGTAAATAACCCTCACAGTGAAAAAATACAGACAACCTGGGAAGCTACAGGGTTAAATTTCCAGAATATCAATGTACTTTTCCTACTCCCCCAAGTCCTTTGACAACCCAATCAGGAAGAATGCAATGTTGTCTTTGTATATAACAGATACCAGAGAGGCAGACACTCTGGTATCATGCACATTCTTAAAAAATCAATTCCAACAATGTAAAACAGGAGCTGAAAGCCTGCCTTTAACTCAATGCAGTGGTGTTGTATATAAGCGTTTGTTGGTCTGAAAACCTCTGCAGACAACAAGCAAAATGTCCAGATGCAGACATAATTTACCACTTCAAGTCCAGACACTTTCACCCCCTTCCTGTCCAGGCCAATTTCCACCTTCCAGAGATATCACACTTTGAATGACAATTGCATGGGCATGCAACACTGTACCCATATGAATTTTTTTTTGCATTTTTTGAGACAGATAAAACTGTATTTTGGTGGTATTAATTCACCACTGGGATTTTTTTTTTTGCTATATAAATGAAAAAGTCCAAACATTTTGGAAAAAAAAAAAAGTGTTTTTCTTATAAAATTTTGCAAATAAATAATTTTTCTTCATAAATCTTGGCCAAAATGTATACATCTTTTTTAGTAAAGAAAAAAAACCCAAATTAATTTATAACTAAAAATTTATAATTTTTCAGTTTTTTTTTTATATTATTATTTATGTATTCTTTTAACATACTGTCACCCTAGCAGTACAGTGTCACCATAGTGACACTGTACTACTTGTGGGGGGTGATGAATATTTTTTTTTTTTTTTTCTTACACTGATTGCTTTTACACCCATAAAGGCTGTAAAAGTAATCATTTCTCCTTCTCTCTGGCTGCATTCTTGTAGCCATTGAGAAATACTGTGAGAGCTGTGATTGGTCACAGCTTGTCATATGGTACAAGGCTGTTGTGAATAGCCTTGTACCATGTGACCTCTGTGATCATTCACAGTTTTCACTAGTAGTAAGCAATGATGTCAGGAAGTGACAACTTGCTTACTACTATTCATGTGATCACTGAATGGCCAATCTGTGATCACATGATCGGGACCTCACACAGAGGTCTCGTACAGCGATCGGTGCGTGGTGTATGCACTCCCAGGGAGCGCGCGCAGGCAGGGAACGTGGGATGACATTTATAAATGGCCCCCTGCTCCTGTCCAGCCGTTTATGTACATGGGCCAGCTGGAAAGTGGTTAAGAAAACACTCAGCAGATGCCAACATGCAGTCCTTATAGTCGTATTAAAGCGTATGCATATACAAAACTTTTTTTCAGTTTTGGATAGAGTAGGGAAGGAGTTAAATCCCATGTTAGTTTGTTTTTTTTGCTGTTTGTATCTGATTTACTTCCTGCCATTAGGGAGAAAACAAAAAGTGATAGTAAATTGCTACAAAGGGTATTTTTTCGTTTTAGGCAGTTGTTCTTAAAACAAGTGTCCCCTTTGGAACATTTCCCATCTATTCCTGATCTGAGGACACTGTAGCTTTTTTGATAATTTTCTGAAAAAATAGCAAACAGGACAAATAGAGAGGAAGAATCTTCCCACTTGGACACAGCCTACAATAAATGTGTTAGATGTACCAGCAGATTTAAATACACTAACACTCCCCTTCACCCCGATTGGCAATGCTGCTGTCCAAATGTGCCCCCTATATGCTTTTTTGCAGAGTGGGGGCACTCTCATACAAGAGGTGTGTTACTGGCTGGATCACAAAATAAAAAATAATGCTGCCACCACATTCAATAACTGGTTAGCTGCAATATATTACATTTCTTGCTTGGGGCTGAATACCGCTTGAAACAAACACAGGGCAATATGCAAAAGTGCGGTCGGTGCATAATGTCGAAACCAATCCACTTCAATACAATTTAGTTAACCTCTTTAGTTAACTTTGTCCGGCGCATGCCGGTAAACAGCTGGATGGGAGCGCTGCCAATGAGGGGAGACGTTTCTAAACATCCCTCCGCATCCATTGCTGGAGCGCGCTCCCTGGGACACAGCGGAACACAGATCGCTGTACGGGACCTCTGTGTGAGGTCCTGATTCATGTGATTGCTGATTGGCTAATCAGCGATCACATGAACAGTAGTAAACAAGATGTCACTTCCTGACATCATTGTTTACTACTTACGAAATCTGTGAATGATCACGGAGGTCACATGGCACAAGGCTATTCACAACAGTCTTGTACCACGTGACAAACTGTGACCAATGACAACTCTCACAGTATTTCTCAATGGCTACAGGAATACAGCCAGAGAGAAAGAGAAGTGATTGCTTTTACAGCCTTTATGGGTGTAAAATCAGTCAGTGTAAAAAAAAAAAAAAAAAAAAAAAAAATCTTCATCATCTTCCACAAGTAGTAGTCACTATGATGACACTGTACTGCTAGGGTGACAGTATGAGAAAAATAAAATAAAAAATACATGAATAACAATATAAAAAAGTTTTCAATAAAATGTAATAAAAAAAAAAATTACCAAAAAGACAGCTGCATACATTTTACATGGACAGCAAGTCAGAACAAAGAGCAAATGTGAAAGTCAGTGCTCCCTGTGAGTGCAGCCTTGGTGTTACAAAACTAGTTTAGAAACCTTTTGATATTACCTCGTACAATTTTTATTTTTGTCTAATCTGGATATTCCTGTGTAAATCCAACTGCAGAACTGCAGAGAGAGTATATAATGGGATTGTAATCAGAATCACAAGACTAATTGAGCATAATGCGCAAAGAAGTGAATTTTTTGTGCCACGAAGAACCAAAAAAAAAAAAATATGTTTCATATCACACATGGATATTTACCAGATTCACTATGCAGTTGAAGATTTTATGGTGCAACCAAATTTCTCTTAAAAAAACATGTTTGAGTAAGTTATTGCCTTCAGGAAACTAACCCCTATGTCTTTAAATTATATATTTGGTGTCAATGCCTTAAAGTATGGCAAGGTTGTAACTGAAAGCTTTAACTCCTTGGTGCCGATGGAACGTAAATATGCGGCCTCTTGGCAGCTGGGCCTTGATGCAGAGAGGCTGCATATTTGCGTACCTGATGTAAACAAACATGTGCCCTGCACACTCCTGGCACAGTTACCGGTGCCTCGTGGAAAGCTCCTGATTGATACTTGCGATCGGGAGCTCTCAGATCATGTGACCGCTGTGACAGCCAATCACGGTCATCACATGATAGTAAACCCCGCCTTTGGAAACTCGTGGTAGTTACTGACAACAATGAGTTAAAGTTGAAGTTTAGCTAAAAAAAAAATTCCTACAGCTTTAGTCCAATTATTTAGCTGTAATGAAACATGTCCCACATTGTGCAGGCAGCTGGAAATCTTCACTGCAGGGATGCCTGTCCTCTTCCTGTATCTCAAAAGGATATATATATATATATATATATATATATATATATATATATATATATATATATATAAAACAATATAAATGCTTTTTTTTTTCTTTTTTTTTTAAGTGATCACATAATCTCTGTACTCAGCTTCATAAGGGGCTTAGAGAGGAGAGGGTGGAGACTGCAGGAAGCATCTCACCAGGTGGCAGAGAAACAACAATACGCTAATCTTTCCAGTGAAAGGGGTTGTGTCAACACAAGTCTGCCCATTGGAGGACAGGCACACTATGCTCTCAGCACAACCAGAAAATTTACCACACTGGGATGGATGTACTTTTGATGCCTAGCGTGGTCAGTTTGAAATAGGAAAGAAGGGGGGTGGAAGGATCATCAGGTATTTCACATGTAGGAGGCAATTCAAAAGGAACTGGATACTTTTTAATACAAGTACATGGTACAGCAGGCACATACCAGGAATATGAAGTGTTGAGGTAGCATACACTTTAACCATGCAATGCATGGTCCCAAAGTGTGATAGGTGTCAAGTATGGTGCAGATTCTGGTGAAGTGATTCTAATGCTGAAAGGTTTAGCCCACTAAACTCATCAATTTCTTTGTCAATATAGTCAGCTGCAGTTTTACATTGCCTGAACACAACAGGAGCAGGCATAAGAAATTCCAATTCTTCTCTATTTCTTCCCCAAGAATTATTCCAACACTGCTTCAAATGGATCAATGCTTCATGCCAAACAATCAGTTGTCTCTTGTCTCACTGTTCTGAAAACCAAGAAGCCATCATTTGCCTGTATACGTAAACCCAATCAAATGAATGAAGATGCTTTTACTTGACACATCAAATTTTCATAAACCTGCCTATGCAAATTCTCATGTGCAAAGTACAAATGAACTCTGTAGGTAACAGATGACGCCTCTCCCTCTACCTTCATGAGTTCAAGCTAAAACTCTCAAATCAGCAGGTGAGCTTCTTTTGATTAGAGACATCTATCTCTAACTCACATAGAAGCAAGTTAGACCACTGCAGAGAGGCCACTGCTTCCACAGAGAGCATCAGTCCTTCTTCTCAGCATGACAGTGCAGTACAGGCTATTTTACTGTGGTGTTTAGCTTTTTTCTTTTACCTGGAATCAATTCACAGCATTTTACAGAAGAGTACAAGTGGGCTTTTAGAAATGTAGGTAATAATTTCACTTGGAAAATATACAGTGAGCGGAATTAACACTTTCACTTTCATACTTTGTGTGTTCTTTGTGTGAAATCATACATCACAATAACAACACAAATTAATATATTGTGAAGGCAGTTGCTGAATTATCTATAATGTCTTAGCCTCGGTTCACCCATATGCGGCGTGGGAAATGCCATGATCCCTGTGTGTTTCCTGCACTGCATTGCAATCACACTGTGTTTTATGATCTGCTGTGGATGTCAATTCAAAGTTAAGGACACCCCAAATGAAGTGCCTTTGCCTGCACCCGATCACATGGTACAAAACGACTATGCAATCCGGTTCCAGCGCAGCTCAATAAAAAGTTAGCTGCAGATTTTTTTAACCTCTTCCCGTCTGGCCCATGCCGATGAATGGCCAAAAGGGGGCGTTGCCAATGTGGGGGGACATGTCTAAACATACTCCTGCATCCACTGCCTGTGCACGCTCCCTGGGAGCGCACAGCGCTGTGATCTGTGCCCGCTGTTTCCACCGACACAGCAGAACACAGATTGCTATACAAGACCACTGTGTGAGGTCCCTATTCATGTGATCACTGATTAGACAATCAGTGGTCACATGAACAGTAGTAAACAAGATGTCATTTCTGACATCATTGTTTACTACTTGTGAAATCTGTGAATGATCACAGAGGTCACATGGCACAAAGCTATTCACAACAGCCTTGTACCATTTGACAAGCTGTGACCAATGACAGCTCTCACAGTATTTCTTAATGGCTACAGGAATGCAGCCAGAGAGAAAGAGAAATTATTGCTTATACAGCCTTTATGGGTGTAAAAGCAATCAGTGTAAAAAAAAAAAAAAAAAAAAAATCTTCCTCACCCCCCACAAGTAGTACAGTGTCACTATGATGACACTGTGCTGCTAGGGTGACAGTATGAGAAAACTAATACATAAATAATATAAAACAATATATATATATTAAAAAAAAATGATTATATATATATATATATATATATATATATAATTTTCAAAAAGATAGCTGAATACATTTTGGCCAGATTTATGAAGAAAGATTATTTATTTGCTAAATTTTTTTTTTGCTGAAGTTATTTTTCAAAATTTTTGGTCTTTCATTTGTATAGCAAAAAAATGTAAATCCCAGTGGTGAAAAAATACCACCAAAAGAAAGTTTTATCTGTCTCAAAAAATTCTAAAAACTTCATTTGGGTACAGTGTTGCATGACTGCGCAATTGTCATTCAAAGTTTGATAGCGTTGAAAGCTGAAAATTGGACTGGGCTGGAAGGAGGTGAAAGTGTCCGGACTTGAAGTGGTTAAACTATACGGTGAAAATGAATGGGCTCACAACAGAAGAGTTTGTGAACTGCACAGGGATGCGATGCGGTACCTGTGGAATTCACATGCAAGCTATAATGTGAACCCAAGCTCATAGATAATTCAGGAACTACCGATGCAAATCCAAAACATGCAAATAGGTGTTGGAAACTAAGAAGAATATGTAAAGATATGTACTCTACCATCTGTTTTCCACAAGTTGCAGGAGCTAAAAGAGCAGATTTCCTCTATCAATTTAAGTGTTATAAGCAAAATCTTAATATTGGATCACCTGTCTGTATTCATGCGGTAAGTATTAGCAGATTTTTAAATCTCAGAATATTCTCCTATAGTTGATGGATTTGTGTTCAGATTCTACCAGGAAAAATATGTCTGTTCAGTACCTGGTTCTGATGCATATTAGAAATAGTTGGTAAATTATTTAGGAGTAAAATATAAACACATATTTATAATTCATGCACATTTGACACATAGCTAACATTTTTGCTACAGTGATAGCTATCCAGATTTTATTAGCAGAAGTCAGTAGCAGGAGGCAAGCCCCAACAGAAAAGCAGCTACCTGAGCTAAAAGCAAAGCTCAGGTCCTCTCCTCTACTCACACATCTGACAAACAAGATAAGAATGACTTCTAAGCGCTAGCGGTTGGTGCTTGTATAATGGATCTAGCATCATGCTAAGTTCATAGAGGCTAAGTAATGTATTATTGTAACACTTACAGGCAAGGCCAGGACAAGAAAGGGGGCAAGAGTGGCAGCTGTCCTGGGTGCATTTTCCTCCTATGGTCTGGGGGGGGGCTCTCATATTGAGCACCACACTGCATGCATGCTTCAGATTCAGGGGCGGACTGACCATTTGGAAACTCGGGCACTGCCCGAGGGCCCAGGGTCAGTAGGGGGCCTCATGAGATGCCCCTGGTACCTTTTTCATAGGCTTTTTTGAGTTTGGGCAAGGACACAGGGTCCTCGTGATCCCCTATTGCCCAGGGGGCCCCATGAGTTGTCAGTTCGGCCCTGTTCAGATTGCTAGTGGACCTCAGCTACCCTTCCAGGGGCCAGAGTTTTCTTTCTGTCTGACAGCTACTGGAGTCCTTTTGAGCTCCAATATGCCCATACTCCACCACCCTTGCAAAAACTGCCCATAGCTGGCACGAAAAACACACAGCACATATGCAACCACTCACAGACCTCCAGCTGCAAGAAAGCAAGTGAATCTTCATCTACACACAGTGCACCCTCATGGGAATTATGGGTATGCCCATATACCTCATGATATTTGTCATTGTGGGAAATGGTAACTACTTAACCCCAAGGCCAATCCTGAAATTTCTCTCTTACATGTAAAAATCTGCATTTTTTGGCTAAAACATTACTTAGAACCACTAAACATTCTACATATTTTTAAGCAGAGGCCCTAGAGAATAAAATGGTGGGTGTTGCAATTTTTTCATGTCACAGGGTATTTGCGCAGCAGTTTTTCAAAAGCAATTCTTTGGAAAAAAAAAAAAATATACTTTAATGAAATGTAATGCACAAAAACACAATATTATATCAAATTGTTTTAAAAAATATAAAAGATGATGTTACACCGAATACATAGATATCTAACATATCACACTTTAAAATTTTGAACACCTGTGGAATGATTACAAACTATGATATATAAAAATCTCCATAGGCAACACTTTTATAGGTTAGCAGTTTAGAGTTGCACAGAAGGTCTGGTGCTAGAATTATTGCTCTTGCTATCATATTTGCGGCAATACCTCATGTGTGGTGCCTTTGTGTGCAAGTATGGAGGGGGGGGGGGGGGCTTTACATTTTTATTATTATTTTATTTATTTATTTAAATTTTTACACTGTCTCTTTATTTTTCATTTTATCACTTTTATTGCTATCACAAGGGATGAACAACAACCCTTGTCATTACATGGGTAGTGACAGGTTCTCTTTACTGAGATATCTAGGGTCTCAGATCTCTCTTTTGCCCTTAAAAAACATCTGATCAAACCAAGATCCAAGATCAAATCAACATCTGGTCAAACCAAAACCAGAGGTGACAAAATCCTTGTTGCTTCTTAGACCGTTGAGATGATCTGGTAAGTTCCAGCACTCTAAGGTAAGCCGGCGAAACTGCTAGTTTCTACTCCCTGGTAGAATGGGAGAGCCTGGAAAGTCACTAGAATGCGGCGGGGGGGGTGTGGTACTTCTTCCATCACATGTAAAAGTAATCCAGTGGCTATTTTAGCTGCTCGGATCACTTTTACTCTATTCAGCATTTCTGGCTGAAAACACTGACACAGGGGTCATGACTGCAGCTTCAGCCATGGCCCCGGTATAACCACTTCACCACTTCAAGTTGAGGACATTCGGGTGCATCCTAAGTAATTAAAAAAGCTGGAAATGAAATGTCATTTGTCGGCAGTAAATCATAATTTTTTTTCTTTGTAAATGCCACTTTTGTTGGAGCACATCCTACAACAAGAATGAAAAATGAAGAGTGTACAGTCCCCCCAAAATACATACCAGACCCTTTGAATCTGGTATGGATTTTCAGGGTGTACCATATGCATAAAAAAATTGCAAAGTCCACTCTGGTCTGGTATAGGTTTTAAGGGGGGATCTCCATTCCAAAAAATAAAAAATGTGTGCGGTTCTCCGAAAAATTCATGCCAGACTCTTAATCAGAGCATGCAGCTGGCCTGGCCAGGCAAGGAAGAAGGATAAGACAAGCATGTGGCCAACACCACACCAGGACACATGCCTTTAACATGCACATACCCCCTGGAAAAGCACCTTGTTCCCATGTTGATGTGGACAAGGGCCTATTCCCCACAACCCTGGCCAGTAGTTGTTGGGATCTGCGAGTAGAAGACTTATCAAATACTGGAAGACTTCTTAAATATTAAGGGGGCCTACAGGTACCACCCCCTTCCCCCTACATGAATGAGTATGGGGTACCTCATTTACAAAAAAAAAAAGATACAGCCTAGAAATAAAGACATACTGTTTAAGAAGTCCTTTACTAAAAAAATAAAAATCCCCCAAAAATGTCCCTTGTAAATGCATTGTCAATCATGATGCCCACCACCCACTGACTCAACTCAGTGCACATGATGGTACCCCTAGCCAAATGACACCTCCCTGAGCTGTCACTAGCTTTATAAGGCAAGGGGCAGGTATAGTGCTGGCAATATTGACAAAATATGAAAAGTGGCTTTTGTGGCAGAGAGATTCTGGGCACATCAGCATTTCCCAGGGATATGTCAGGTGCAAGCATCCACTGCTTCCTAAGGAATCAGTGACAGCAGAAAGCTATCATATATTCAAGTGGTAGAAATAATGCTTCTATATATGATGCTTGGCTCTCAATGCATGGGAAAAGGTAAGGAGAGGGGGGGGGGGGGGGGGGGGGGGGGGGGGGGGGTCAGCAGCTCATTTCTAGAGGCTAAGGATAAACTTTCCGCTGCCTACAGGAAAAGGAGGACATCATCTCAACCTAGGTAAAGTCTATTGATTAGAGATGAAGGACTGCTTTATAGCGATAAGGGTATAGCTTTTTTATATTGTTGCTGTATATTGTGAGATGTTTGAAATATACACAAGCTGACTGAATTGTCCATTTTAAGCATTCTGGTGCTACTGTGCTTTTTGACAAGAAAGCACAGCATCCATATAAATAAATAGCTTCGTGGCACCCCTATAAACATATAATTTAATATACAAGGTGCGACAGTTTTATTCCGGGAATCCCCACGGCATAGCACTATAGTGTTGAACTTCACAGCCATTTGAACTCAAGCGTGTTCTGATATGTTCTACCTTGTGTTCTCCTGGCTTGCAGACCAGTTGACTCAGCCTTTGCAGAGTAGTAGAAGAAATAACCCGTGTGTGCATTGTGCTGTTGGTAGAATGTGAGTGACAGGATTCTGGAGCAGAGGATTAATATCAAATTTTGTGTGAAAATTGGAAAACTTGCAAGTAAAACTTTAGCTCTGTTACAACAGGCTTATGGTGAACAATCCATAAAGTGTTTTTGAATGGCATATGTGGTTTGGGACAGGAAGATGTTCACAATTATACAAGAAGTGGGCAGCAAAAAACCCAAAGGAAGGAGGCAAATGTAGACAGAGTGCAAACCTACATATGCTCAGATCGAAGATTGAGTGTGCAAATGATGGCAGTATTGAACATGATATCAAAATAACGGTGTTCCTCCTATATATAATATCCCAAATGCACAAAAATACTTTTACCCCAAAAAGTGTATAGATCAATAATACATAGAGTGCTATTACTCAACAAATGTCAAATAAATAACTGAATAAATAAACTCTTAAATAATACTG